TGTCTCTGGTGAATTCTCTCACCCTCCCGCGCTTCTGACTGTTCCCAGTGCATGTATAAATAAATAAATAAATATTTTTAAAAAAAATTTTTTTGTAATGGCTGTAAACATAGCTACCTAAGCAGACATTAGTAAAAGCTTGGATAAATTTCATATTCTGGTGCAGCACCCTCACCCCCTGCGAGCAGCAGCTGCCTGCTTCCTCCAGGCCTGCCCCGGTGCTGGGGCAGCGGCAGCCTTTCTGGCCTCTTTCCGCATTTAAAATACAATACATCATCACTACAATGAATATGAAGATCTGTATTTATTGATGTGGAAAGAGGTCTAAAATAATGGGTAGGGGCCTCCCCGGTGGCGCAGCAGTTGAGTGCTGGGCTGTGAAGCTGCCCACAGCCTCTACAGCGCTAGTTCGATCCCCGGCCACTGGCGAGGGTCCCACATGGCGCGATAGACCTCTCCTGTGGTGCCCACTGCTCCCCTCAGCAGTGTACTTCGTCAGTCTGCCTGCTCTGCTCTCCCCTCTGGCTCTGGTGAATTCTCTCACCCTCCCATGCTTCTGACTGTACCCAGTGCTTGTATAAATAAATAAATAAATGTTTAAAAAAAATAAAATTATAAAATAATGGGTAAGGGAAAAAGTTGTCACCGGGTATTATTTTATTTCTATAAATAATATTAATAGAGCACCTCCATGGTGGCACAAGGGGTTAAGCACCGCACGATGAAGCAATCCGCAGCCTTTGCAGCACGAGTTCAATCCCCGGCCAGCCAGGGAGCAACCCACATGGGGTGGCAGACCTCTCCTGTCTTGCCCGCTGCTCCCCTCAGCAGTGTGTTTCAGTCAGTCTGCCTTTTCTGTTCCCCACTCTGTCTCTGATGGATCCTCTCACCCCCTGCATCTCTGGCCTGTACCCCAGCTCTTGTATGCATAAATAAATCAATCTTAAATAAATAATATTAATAGAATATGTACATATGTATAAAAATCTTGAAATATACCCACTAAATTGTTAGTAGTGTTTATCTAGAAAGTATAAGATTGTCAGACTTTCATATTCTAAGTTATGTGTTTCTATAAAGTGATCTTCTTAAATCACATATTGCTTTTATAATCAGAACAAAACAAAGTTTACTATCCAAATCCTCCAAGGTTCTCTGTTGTTCACGAGGCAATGTGCAATTCCATTTGTGTTAATGGGTCCTGAAATTTTTCTCTTTTCCTTCATATATGTATCCTTTGGTTGAATTGGTTAAACTAACTTAATATTGAATGGTGAAATTAATGTGTATGTGCTAGGGACCCTGTATGCCAGAGCAATGGCCCTTTAACACAGAATTTTTATTATAAGTGATTTGAAAATTCAGATAGATTTTTTTTTAAGGCAGATAGATCTATTTAGAGGAAAGTGGACCTTAGAATTATAACTATATTTTAAAGCTCTACATATTTATTTATTTTTTTTAAACTCTAGAATTGCCCTATTTATTTTGTTAGTATTAATTCACCAAATATTGAGTACTGATAATACATATGTGATATTACATACATAACTCTACATACTTATTTTTTGCCTTTTTTCTGTTTGGCATGTAACTCAATAAAAAGTTAGCAAAACTCATTTTTGAAGAGTTTTACGTATTATGGACACCGTGATGCGAAAGGGTGGTGAAAGCATACAGTTTCTACATCCTGGTCTCCACTGTTTATTTATAGTGATTCTCATTTATGGTCCTATTGACCATCTGATATCACTGTCACTGAAACAGAAGTTATAATAACAGGAAGAAATAAGAAAGCTCCTTAGATTGCTGTAGGAGTGACAAATATTTGCACACCTGCTGAGTTTTAAAAAGTCACCATAAAAGCTGTGCCTCAGTAAATAATGCATGTGAAGTAAGTTATACTTTAACCTTAATTAGGCATGTAAGTTGTATAAAACCAAGTATTAATGAAAAAATGAAAAGTCGGGCCTACCTGGTGATGCAAGCGGTTAAGACGCAAGCTATGAAGCTATCTGCAGCCTTTGCAACACGAGTTCAGTCCCCAGCCAGATGCCCACATGACACAGCAGACCTCTCCTGCCTTGCCCACTGCTCCCTTCAGCAGTGTATTTCAGTCGATCTGCCTGTTCTGTTCCCCACTCTGTCTCTGGTGAATCCTCTCACCCCTCCATACCTCTGGCCTGTACCCCAGTTCTTGTATGCATAAATAAATAAATCTTTGGAAAAAAAAAAAGAATGGGGCCTCCCCGGTGGCACAGCAGTTGAGTGCTGGGTTGCGAAGCTGCCCACAGTCTCTGCAGCGCCGGTTCAATCCCCGGCCGCCAGATGAGGGTCCCACATGGTGCACAGACCTCTCCTGCCGCCCGCTGCTCCCCTCAGCAGTGTACTTTGTCAGTCTGCCTGTTCTGCTCCTTGCTCTGGCTCTGGTGAATCCTCTCACCCTCCTGCGCTTCTGATTGTACCCCAATGCTTGTATAAATAAATAAATAAATCTTAAAAAAAAAGAATGTTCTGTTTAAAATAAAAATGAAAAGCCTACTCTTTATTTTTTTTTTTTAAATAGAGGCATGTTTTATTTATTTATTTGTTTGTTTGTTTTGTTTATACATGCACTGGGTACAATCAGAAGCGCGGGAGGGTGAGAGATTTCACCAGAGCCAGAGCAGGGAGCAGAGCAGGCAGAAGGACTGAGGTACACTGCTGAGGGGAGCAGCGGGCGGCAGGAGAGGTCTGCGCGCCATGTGGGACCCTCCTCCGGTGGCCGGGGAACAGCTGGGGATCGAACCAGCGCCGCAGAGGCCGCGGGCAGCTTCGCAACCCAGCGCTCAACCGCTGCGCCACCTGGGAGGCCCGAAAACCCTACTCTTTAAAAGAGAAGTTACAAGTATGATTTGAAGTAGCCTTGAGGCAGGCAATGGAAGGAACTAATCCCAACTTTGAGTCTAAAATTAGATGCTTGGGGGCCTCCCTGGTGGCGCAAGGGATTAAGATGCAACCTATGAAGCTGTCCACAGCCGCTGCAGCATGAGTTCGATCCCCAGCCAGCCAGGGAGCAACCCACAGGGCACAGCAGACCTCCCCTGACTCGCCTGCTGCTCCCCTCAGCAGTGTACTTCAGTCAGTCTGCCTGTTCTGCTCTCCACTCTGTCTCTGGTGAATCCTCACACCTCACACACACAGTCCCCACACCTCTGGCCTATGCCCCAGCTCTTGTATGCATAAATAAATAAATCTTTAAAAAAAAAGAAAAAAGAAATTCTACTTCAGGAAGGAGGAGAAGGACACCAGGAAGATGTGAGATGCAAGAAGGAGTGGAGAGTGAAGAAATTGATAAGCATCTGAGTTAATGTCAATACGTGTTACCTGCATGTCATAATGATGATGTGAATTATAATGTCTTGTGAGGTTAAAAAAAGGATACAACATACAACTAGGAAAGTGGTTAAAATGTTGAGTTATTTTAAAAAATGGATCATATATTTTAAGTTAATCACCATGCATATTAAATTCAAAGGTAACTTTGCTATAGAGTTCAGAACGTCTAAGCCAATAAAGGGAGGAAGATGGAATTTTTTTTTACATTTTAGTAAGTTCTTTGACAATGTTTAGCTGTGTAACCTAAGCCGTGTTATATAAACTCCATGAACCTTGATTTCCTTATCCTCGCAGTGTGATTAGTAGAAGTACCACCCTTAGAGGGAAGTAACCAGACAATGTAAGCAAAAGGCTTAGTGCAAATCTCCAGAATGTTGAATAAATATTAGACATCACCATTACTCCTACTGATTTAGTTCGACTTTTTGTTAATGCTTTAAGCTGCAGTAGATCCTCCCTGCTAACATCTCACCCAGGTTCTTTCCCGTGAGACAAGAGGCCACACCCAGAGTCAGAGAGTGCCAGCTGTCCTGAGAACCCTGGTGGGCCTTCCTTCCATAGCAACTTGCTCAGAAGCTTCAGGATTCAACATTGCCTTTCAGTAAAAAATTCAATGCATAAAGCATCTCCGCGGCCTGGCCCCAGCCAGCCTGCTCCCTTGCCTGCTTTCCAGTGTGGAATGTGGATGCTCAACGTGTTTGAGGTCTTCTTCCTTGACACTGCTGCTTTGAATGTTCTTTTTAAAAAATTGAATGATTTCCTTCCTCTGGAATACCCTCTACCAAATTCGACCTATTCTTCAAACCCCAGGCAGGACCCCTAAGACCAACCCAAAAGTGAGTTATAACTTGAAAACTTGCCATTCAAAGCAAACTTCAGTAGTTCTGGATGCCTGTCTCTTTTGCTGCATTTTCAACCGAGCTTTAATTTAATTTATTTATTATCGTGGAACTTCCCTCAACTTTGCCTAACTGCAAAGGACGAACACTAGTCTTTCAGCTCCTTAAAACAGTGATATGTCTTCAATATGCTTGTATCCCCTATAGCTCCTAAGAAAGGAAAATTAACACTTAAGTGCCGGCTGTATGCCTGGTGCTATATTAAGTCTTTTTTTGTATATAACATCTCATCTATGCCTCACAGCAAACTTAGAAAGATGTTAGTGTCTCCATTGTACCTCTGAGCACATTGCACTTAAGGTTGCTTACACACCCTAGTTACTTACTCGTCGCACCCTAGTTACCTACTGGTCATTGGCAGGCTGGGACTTGACTACACCGGCTGTCAAAATGCTTGTAAACACATATCCTGCAGGAGTAAAGGCTCCAATGTGTGTACATTTTTCTGCTTGATTTAACTTCTACTCCTAAATTTAGAGTGTCATGGAAACAGATTTCAAAGAAGCCTAAATTCTCAAAAATATAAATTGACGTGCCAGTTATTAACAGCCAGACGATAGGAATTCACAAAATAGCTTGACGTCAGACATCACGTTGTTCTGTGCTTTGCATTCATGTGACGTGACGTGAAGTGGATAGCGACGAAGTAGAATGTTCCTAGGATGCTGCTCTGGGTCTGTCCCTTTCAGAACAATTTTTCTCTTCTCTTTTTCCCTTTTCTAGGGTTACACATCTTTCTGGAATGACTGCATATCCTCGGGCCTTCGAGGGGGCATCCTGATAGAGCTGGCCATGCGGGGTCGAATCTACCTGGAACCTGCCACCATGCGTAAGAAACGGCTCCTAGACAGAAAGGTACAGCATCCTCCTTGAACGACCTCTTGACATAGGGAAGGCAGAGACCAGCAGTCCGTCCTGGGAGAGTGGGAAGTTGTGTGTAGTGAGACGAGGTCGATACCACGATGCGGCCGTCCCGCTGACTGTAGCATCCTGCAGCAGAGGAAGCAACCCAGGCGTCCGTGGTCTAAAGAGCTCCAGGATTTTCCGGGGTTTCATCTGCCTCTTTACTACAGGCAAATCCCATTTCTGATACTATTGCTCCCGCCCCTCTGTGACTGTACTGTGGACTAGAGCGCTGTGGAGCAGGGAGCAGACACAGGGGTCAGGCGCTGTCCTGCTTACTCGGTCAACATGAGGGAGCCATTGATTCCTTTCCTCTACAGCAGACCCTCTCCAGCCCGTGAAGCCATCTCCTTACTCCGCGTGTCCATCTCCTTACTGCTCATCCTTCCTTCACAACTTCACCGCCCGCCCGCACTCGGAGACCGCAGTCTCAGGCCTCACCCGCTGCTTATTTTTCTCTTTAACCTCCATGTAGCACTTGACACTTGTGACCACCTCCTCTTAAGACCGTCTCCTTGGCCTTTCCTGTACCACACGCTCTTGCTCCTCTCACTGTACCCTGTTTCCTCTAGTTCTCCATTTCTTAACATTCAGTCTCGGTTTGTCTTCCATTACATCGTTGTCTATCCGTTTGGAGATACCATTTCTTTCCAGCGTCATCTGTTAGCCCCGTGAGATCAGTCCTGTCTTCCTTTCCGCCTGCCAGGACCATATTTAACTAACGGCTGGACATTTCACCGTGGCATTTCCATTAATTAATTGTTTCACCAGTTGGTCTTCTAGACTCAGAATTATTATGGAATCTTTCCTTTATTGTCATTTCTATCCATTTTATCACCAGGGTCCACTTCAAATGTTATTTTGTCTCCCAACTATCACCCCTTATTATTTTAAACTTCTAAGGATAGGACAGTATACTATACTGCTTTTTTGCATTTTCTGCAATACTTAACCAATATTGTATAGTATATTGACAGGTTTTAATTTGAATGAAGTGAATGAACCAGGTTCCTTGCCTCTCTCCTGAAAGGTACTACTAAGGTCAGACAGCCCAACAGGTGACGTTTTACTGGATGAAACTCTCAAACACATCAAAGCCACTGAACCCACAGAAACTGTCCAAACATGGATAGAACTACTCACTGGTAAGAACATGCAAAACAATTCAAAAATTCCACCATTTGTGATCTTTATCCTATTCTTAATAAGATCAGGAAAAGAAATACAGAAATTCAGGGTGTTGAGTAAGATATATGGCTCATTGTTTAAACATCTTTGTTAATATATTTTATTCACATACTGTACAGTTGGCTCATTTACAGTATACAACTCAATAGATTTTAGTATGTCATCTAATTGTGCAATCATCATCACAGCCTAAATTTAGAACATTTTCATTACCCCCAAAATAAACCCCATTATCATTCACAGTTTTCCCAACTCTGCAACCACCGATACACATTCTCTCTCTATAGATTAGCCTATTCTGAATATTTCATATAAATGGAGTCATAAACTTACAACTTTTGTGACTTCTTAGGATGATTTCAGTTTATGCCTGTTGAAGCACATAATAATTCTTCATTTATTTTTCCTTTTTAGGGGCAAATTCAAAAACTTTACTGAGTAACTAGATCTTTGGCATAAACATTTAGATGAATCTTCCACAGGACACTTTCACGTTACAGCCAGTGTCACTTTATGGAACAATTTTTTTAATTGAAGATTTATTGAGATATTTGTAGATTCACATGCAATTATAAGAAATAATACAGAGATCCCTTATTTGCCCAGAATCCCCCACTGGTAACATTTTGCAAAACTGGTATATGACAACCAGGATATGGTCATGGATAAGATTCACCAATATTTTTAGAACGTCTCTGGTTTTAACTGGACTCCTGTTTATTGCCAAATGATGCTTCACTGTATGAATATACCATTTTGTTGATCCATTCATTAGTTTATTGGGTTATTACCCTTTTCTGACTATTATGACTAATGCTGCTATGACCATTCAGAGTCAAGTATTTGTGTGACCATTTCATTTTCTTTGGGTATATATACATAAACTATATATATATAAAATATTGTCATTCATAAGTGTACAATTTAGTGACATTAACTACATCCACAGCATTGCGTAAGCATCACCTCTCTCTACACCCAAAGTTTTCTCATCATCCCAAACATCCCTCTTCCTCAACCCTCATTCCCTAGCAATGCCTCTTCTCTTTCTGTCTCCACAACTTTCTGTACCAGGTGACTGACACAGTGGAACTTTAGATTTCTTGTCCTTCTCTGTCTGGCTTATTTCACTAAGCATAGTATTTTCAAGGACCATTCATGTTGTTGCACTTATTAAAATCTCATGCCTTTCTATAGCTGATTAATCATACATATACATACGTACACACACACCTATCACATCTTGTTTATTAATCGGTTTATGAACACCTTGATTGTTTCCATCATTTTTTTAATATTTATTATGCATACAAGAGCTAGGGCGCAGGCTCAGAGGTGCGGGGATGAGAGGATACACCAGGGACAGAGAGGGGAGCAGAAGAGGTGGATCTACTGAAATACACTGCTGAGGGGAGCAGCGGGGAGACAGTAGAGGTCTGCTACACCATGTGGGTAGCTCCCTGGCCAGGGATCGAACTTGTGCTGCAGTGGCTGCCACCAGGGAGACCCCAGCTTCCTTCACTGTTATGTGGAATACAAAGAAACAAAGAAAGGAACAGACAAAACTAGACCAAAACAAACCCTCAAAAACTGGCTACACTGGGGCCTCCCCTGGTGGCGCAGCGGTTGAGCGCTGGGCAGCCTCTGCAGCACCGGTTCGTTCCCCGGCCACCGGCGAGGGTCCCACAAAAAAAAATAAAAAATAAAATAAAAAACTGGCTACAAAGCTGAGGCTACCAGAGCAAAAGGATCAGGAGTAGGGGACCAAAGTGGGCAGTGCCCAGTGGACCATGGTGGAGGATGATTAGGAGGTTGGTGGGGGTTAAGGTGTGGTAACACCCATTAGATTGGTGTGAATGTGCCACCAAATCATGTGGAATGATGTGAACCAATGTTACCTCAACAAGAGACAATGCAATATTTTTAAAGTGTCCCCTCCAGTTATTTAGAAGAATTTGAGAAAGGTTAATGTTAATTCTTTTTCAGATTTTAACTAGAATTCACTAAGAAGTCACCTGGACTGGGGATTTTCTTTGTGGGGACATTATTGGTTACTAATCTCGTTATTGATGTTGAGATTTTCTGTTTCTTCTTTAGTAGTTTAAATAACCTGTTTCAAGCAAATTGTCCATTTCTTCCAGGTTATCTAAATTGTTAACATACACACAGTCGCCCATAGTATTCTCTTGCAGTTCTCTTTATCTCTGTAAGGTGGTGGTAGTCTCACTTGATTCCTGTTATCAGTCTGCATCCTTCTTTTCTTTGCTTCCTTCTCTCTTGCGTCCTTCTTTTCTTTGGCAGTGTAGCTAAAGGTTTGTCCATTTCATTGATCTTTTCAAAGAACCAACTTCTAATGTCTTTGATTTTTCTCTATTGTTTTCTGTTCTCTATTTGTTTATCTCCATTCTAATATTTATTGTTTTCTCCCTACCTGCTAGCTTCGGGTTTACTTTGCTCTTCTGCTCCTAGTTCCTTACAGCGTAAAGTGAAGTGGTTGCTTTGAGCTTTCTTCTTTTTTGATGCCAGCATTCATATAAATTTCCCTCTGAGCACTGTTTTGACTATTTTCCATGTATTTTGATATCTTGTGCTTTCATTCATTTCTAAGTTTTTTCTAATTTCCCTTGTGATTTCTTCTGTAACACTTTGGCTTTTTGCAATTAACTTCCACGTTTGTGAATTTTCCAGTTTTCCTCCTGTTACTGATTTCCAGTTTCATCCCATCGTGGTCCTAGGAGATACCTGTATGGCATTTATCTTTTGAGATCTGTTGAGACTTATTTTGTGGCTTCCCAGGTAGTCTATCCCAGAGAACATGCTGTGTGCCTCTGAGAAGAATGTGTTTCGTGCCTGTTAGGAGGTGGGGTGCTCTGTAGACGTCTTGTCAGGCCTGGCTGTTTATGACGTTGTTCATGTCTTCTCTCTGTTTCCCACAGGTGAGACCTGGAACCCCTTCAAGTTACAGTACCAGCTGAGAAATGTACGAGAGCGAATTGCAAAGAACCTCGTAGAGAAGGGCATTCTGACCACCGAGAAGCAGAATTTCCTCCTTTTTGACATGACGACTCACCCAGTGACCAACACAACAGAGAAACAGCGATTAGTGAAAAAACTCCAAGACAGTGTGCTCGAGCGGTGGGTGAACGACCCGCAGCGCATGGACAAGCGCACGCTGGCACTCCTGGTGCTCGCCCACTCCTCTGACGTGCTAGAAAATGTCTTCTCCTCTCTGACAGATGACAAGTATGATGTGGCAATGAATCGAGCCAAGGACCTAGTAGAACTGGACCCTGAAGTAGAGGGGACAAAGCACAGTGCTTCAGAGATGATCTGGGCTGTGCTGGCCGCCTTCAATAAGTCCTAAAGCCCAGGTGGGTCTCCTTCCCCCATTAACTAGTGACAGAAACACCATCACTGATTTTTGTGTGATGAAATATTTTCATCATTTTTTTCCTTCTCTTGAATCAGACTTGTGATTTGGGGAGAGCAACTTGAGGGCTTCTCGGTAGATCTTGACCATTCTGAGCAGACTTTATATCTCCCTGAATTTCCACGCCAGAGCAGATGCACTGGGTGAGCCTATACGGGCCCAGTAGGCATTTTCCCTACTTGGTTTATTTCCACCCACTGTGCTTTTGGATAAGCAGGAATATCTGACTGGGATTTGGCGTTCTTTAGCCACAGAATGTGAATGAGGTATTAAACCTTTTGTTACATCATTTAAAGTTTGTTTTTCTATCTTAAATACGTGTTTTCACAGTCTTCGTCTCTCAGACTCTGCTGAGTAATTCAGCTTATCGAAAGAGTTGCCTCTTTGAATAAGGGGCAATGGGGGAAAAGACTAATTTTTGGAGGGGCCTCCCTGGTGGCGCAAGGGGTTAAGACACAGCACTGTGAAGCTGTCCGCAGCCACTGCAACACGAGTTTGATTCCCGGCCAGGGAGCTACCCACATGGCGAAGCAGACCTCTCCTGTCTCCCCGCTGCTCCCCTCAGCAGTATATTTTAGTCAGTCTGCCTGTTCTGCTCCCCGCTCTGTCTCTGGTGAATCCTCTCACCCTCTGCACCTCTGGCCTGTACCCCAGCTCTTGTATGCATAAATAAATCTTTAAAAAAAAACAGAACTACCTTTTGGAGCATATCGTCTCCAGGATTATCTATCCCACTAATGATTTTTCTCTTTCGTTTTCTAAACAAATGAGATATTCCAAATTTGATTACCTGGTTCTCACACTTGTAGAATCAGAAATATTTTCTTTATTCTCTCGGGATTATCCTAGTCCTTTATTCATTAGGACAAAAATCTAAATGAAAAAAATATATCTGCCAACCACCTCCTTGGCACCATTGGCATTACAATTTGTGAGAGAAAGGGCACGTGAGAATCTCCATCTTTTAGCATGACCACCCTGGTTTCTGCAGACAACTTTACATGTCTCCGCTCTGATTGAGGGACTTGTCGGTTGCAGCTGCTGAACAGTGGCATCCTGATGCCAGGCAGTACCTCCACGCTCCAGATCTCCCTGCTGTTGCCTTCCTACATAAATCAATAGATTGGGGCTCGAAGGGTTCTGGAAGTACCTTTAATCCAGAGATACCCTCCTAGTCAGTAGTCTCGTCTCTATAGAACCATCTTTCTAGCCAAATCTCTCAAACATTTTCAAGTCAAAGTGCAGAGAGATGTTTACTTAGAAAAATCCTATTTGGAGGGACAATTTGGTATCAAAAGCTGCTGATGTATAAAGTCCAATATTTGTGAATATCAAAACACAAACACCACGTTGTACAAATATCAGGCATTTATTATGCTGTTACTTTTAACGGATGCTACACCATGACCATTGCAGAGAAAACAGCTGTCAGAGGGCTGCTGCTTGCGACTTAGAATGATTTGAAGTAATTTAAACGAATGATTATAACTTCCTCCCCAAGCCTTTCTAGCCCCACAATATCCCCAACCAATTAACTCTTTGTTCTCATTTTTCACATTGGGTATCACTTAGGTGACTAGAGATAAAAACTTTCATGTGAAACGAATTGTAACTGTGAGCCTGAGCAGAGCTTCAGTCTGACTCTGTAAAGAACAAAGACCAGCTGTGTGTTGTCTCTGCCTGACTCTGTTTTTCTTTCCATTTGAACAATTCAGCATGAATTGAAACCAGGTTTTCCTGTGGAAAGTTTCAGCTTGATTGGGGGGTAGAAGGTGAGTTGAGTTCCTTCTTGCAACTCTCGGCCTGTGTTTATTTCTGTCGCCTCCCAGCGGGTGAGGCTGTCTCCGGTTGGAATCTGCGTAATGTCCGCAGCAGAGTGCTTCCCACTCGGCCTCCTCTTCTGTATAATAAAGATCAACTGTTCGCTCTCTGATTTCCTGTGCAGGTTTACAAGTTGAGTCCCTTTAGCTGGAAATAAGAACCTTACACACCAGGCCAGAGGAGCCATCTTTACACTGGGATACAAGCCTTCGTTTCATCCTGGGTGGGTTACACTAATGTTCTTTTTAACACACGTAGCTAGGGAGCAGGACCCACCAGCACTGACCTGAAGACCAGCTAATGCTGTAAGCCCAAGTTATGTCTCCATCTCAGTCCACTGAGGTACCCAGTTACACCATTATAGCCGTGGAGAGAGTCTGTTCTGCCCGCTGATACTTACTTGTAAGTGAAGCCTGAACTTATCTGAGAATGAAGAGTCTTAAGTTTCAAGCACAGATAACATACCTGAGTTATAGTTACAAATATGAAATGTGATAAGATGACATATAATTGAATATGGGAAAATGTAATTTAATTGTAATTTTCTTATTGCTCTTCCCTTCTTTCTAATATCTGTAGCAAAAGGGACAGTAGTTATTTCAAAGCTTTAGTCCCATAGGTCATCCTTTATGCAATGTTTCTCAAACAAAATCACCAAAGTTGATTTTGGGAGGTGTATGATTGCCGAAATGCCCTTTCCTGGTAAGTCGCTCTCCAGGACCGCGGGCTTAGGAAACTGCCTCTGAGCACAGTCGCTAAAGGCTCGCACATGAAAATCTGAGAACACAGCGTTGTGTTTTATTGTCTATAATTCATGCAAAAATTGTTATGGAGTTACAAATTAACTGGTTTATAATAATAAAAAAAATTGTGTAGGAAACAACGCCAGCTTCTGAGGACTCATTTCAGTGGAAAAATTGGATACTTTGTGGTAAAAGCTCAAGTAGGAATATAAAACTGGGCCTCCCTGGTGGTGCAGGAGTTAAAGACAGCACTATCGAGCTATAGCCAGCCACTGCAGCATGAGTTTCATTCCCTGGCCAGCCAGGGAGCTGCCCACATGGCGCAGCAGACCTCTCCTGTCTCCCCGCTGCTCCCCTCAGCAGTGGATTTCTGCTCCCCGCTCTGTCTCTGGTGAGTCCTCTCACCCACACACCCCGCCCCCACACCTCTGGCCTACACCCCAGCTCTTGCATGCATAAATAAATAAATCTTTAAAATAAAAAAATAAACCTGTTTAAAAAAAAAAAAAAACAAGCATCCATACGAGTGAGGGTGGGAGAAATGGACCGGGAAGGGCACAGCAGGGGGAGATTCTGCTCCAAAGCTCCACATTCATCCACTGTGGACTCCATGGCCCAGACACGTGGCCCTGCCTCTTCCCGAAGACAGTCCAGTGGGTGCCGGTGTGCACTGGGGTCAGCTTCATCAGGTGCCAGGTGGTGTCATCTGTGTTCGGTGTGGACCTTCCTCCCTACACAATCCTCACAGACCCGCTCCACCCTGTCTGGAGCCCCGGGCGCCTGGAACCCGTGAGCCACAACCTGCTCCCGCCAGTGCCGTTGGGGACAAATGGCTCGTTACCCCTGGAGAAACGAGGTAGAAAAATTCATTCCAAACATCATGTCTTCCGCCCTATATTGAGCGACTTGACATCTGCTGGTGAGTTCATCTCAGCACTCCGCTTCCTGTTCAATCAGGCGTCGCTTAGGGATGGGGTAGGTGCTGACAAGTGCATCGTTTAACCATTTTGTGGTTGTGCAAATGTCAGAGCGCACTCACTCGAGCCCAAGTGTGCAGCCTATCGCTCACCTATGTCCATGGGGGAGCCTGCGGGACCACGGCCTGCCGCCCCAGAGGCCTCTAAGTGGTGGGAAGGTGTCTGTCTCCAGGCTCTCTTTGAACCAGTTTAGCTCCTTACTGATTCCCCCGTTTGTATGGGTTGTGATGAGACCTGTTGGGAAATCATCCCGAACACTACTATTCTGATCGTTTAGCTACTCTGAGCTCTGGTTAAGACCAATCCCAGGAGCACGGATTTGTCAAGGAGGCAAGCTGAGGTGAGGGCTGGGCTCGTCCTGGTGTTCTCGGTCTGGCCCATCAGAGGGTGCTCACGGCATGCGTCAGCCCAGGCGTCACTGCAGTCTCGCTGTTCTTTCAACCACCAATCCTCAGAGAATGTTTCTGACACGTTTCAGTGTTCTTTCCAGATAGCTCACCTCATAACCTGGAAGATCTAGGTCCTGTCCTGAAAAATACAGACATTAAAAAAAAAAAGACCAAAAGAGCAAGGATGGGCATGTGAGCAGCTCAGGCCTCTCCCCTCCCTGCTTCCCCTCCAACCTGGCCTTGCTGGTGTGCGCTCTGAGGGCCGCACCCTCCTCACAGGAAGCCAGGATTCACCCTTGCTCCTCGCCTCGCCTTTATGCCCCACGCAGAGTCTCATTATCTCCAGCTCCGCGCACAGCCTCTCCTCTAGCCTGGAGTGGCGCTGTCAGCCCTTGCCCTCCAGCCCCACCCCCACAGCGCTACTTGCAGTTAAACCTTTCCAAGTCCCAAACATGCCATTTCTGAGTCTCCTCAGGCCGCGGGGACCTCAGCAGCTGCATGACTTGCAGTTCTCCACAGGTTTGAGTATCAGCCTTAGTTGCAAAACTGGGAAGCAAGTGGGCTTGCCAGGAGCGAGAGTAGAAAGAAAGAGAGGTCCCAACACAGGCGTGGGCAGAGGGGGCAGGAAACACACACACACACACACACACACACACACACACCCCACACACTATCCAGCTGGTGAGGAGAAACCGGGAGTGGCAGGGATGTTAAATGGAGAGGACACGGTTCCACCGCAAGCAGGTGGGAGAGAGAGGTGGTGGCCACATTTAACATTAAAACGAAGGAATGAGGGCAATGAAGAGGGAGTCGAGGAGGGGGTTGTTGTTCTTTTGCTTTGTGCGGGTGGGCAAAGGCCAGTCCCGGCTGGAAGGGTCTAATCGAGGGAAACAGTAAAGACGCCGCTACTGGCTTCTCGGATCGTCTCCTCCCCACTCTGGGCCCTTGTTGTCTCGCGCCCACTCTCCGCAGGGCCCTCTCTTTTTCTGCGTCGGCTTTTAGCAACCCCATCTACTGCCACAACTTGGCTTCCGTGAAGCAGGTCACACTCCTATTCGGCTTTTGCTTTTCTCCCAAACGCCAGCTCTGCGCTTCCTAGGGCCGAAAACGTCAGGCGTGGAGCTCTCACGGGGCATTCCCCCTCCACCTTCTGTGTCCGCCTATTTCCTGGAAATGGCTCCCTGGCTTTTACGAGCCAGTGTCTTCAAAATCAAATAGTTCATTTTCTATCTGCTGCTAATTCCATCCTCAAACTAACGCCTCTTCTTGGAGTTACTGTTTCTACAAATAGTCACCTTGGGATGCACAGCTGCCTTCAGACCTATCTTCCCAACTGCTAACCCAGTAGATTCCGTCTTCACAGACATTTGCAATTAGGTTCACGGTTTCTATCCTCAACCGCCACGTTGCTAGTTTAAATCCTAACTACCCCACCTATAGCAGGGCAGTGGGCCCCTGACCAGATGCCCACTGCCAGCATCTTTCTGCTGGGAATTCTGAATGCTCTTTAATAACAGATTCATCTTCACAGAGAGCAGTTCTGATCTGCCACTCTCTGATGGCTTATGAAAGTATTCACTAAGTCCTTATGCTGGCATTCAAAACCCCCCGTGTTGTGGACCTCGCGCTGTGCCCAAGCTCTGGAAAACCCATCCTTCCTTCATCTTTGCCTGGGAAACTCCTAAATGCTTTAAAGCTTATTCAAATACCACCTCTTTCGAGCCTTCCCTGGTGGCACAAGGGATTAAGAAGCAACCTATGAGGCTGCCCACAGCCCCAGCAGCTTGGACAGGGAGGTGACCCAAACAGCGCAGCAGACCTCTCCTGTCTCCCCGCTGCTGCCCTCAGCAGTGTGTTTCAGTCAGTCTGCCTGTTCTGCTCCCCACTGCTCTGATGGATCCTCTCATCCACACATCTCTGGCCTGTGCCCCAGCTCTTGTGTGCATAAATAAATAAATCTTTTTTTTAAAAAAATCACCATTTTAAATACCACCTCTTTCATGACGTCTTTCTTTTAAATCCTAAACTGAATATATGAACTTTCCTTTGCATCTCTACAAGCTCTTCATCAACACGTATTTCAAAGCTCGCCAGATTTCCCTTGTTTGGTAATCTGTGCATTCCAGCGCTTCTCTTCTATAAATATACCTAATTACACAGAAAAATGCACAGGCCCCAGGCAACCCCCAAGAAGCTGTCCGGAAATTTTAATTCTTAGGAATTTTGCGGTGTTACTAGCATTAGACCAATGTTTCATATTAAAGGCTATGCTTTTGATCAACAGCAGAAATACTTGTCTATTGACTGTTTGGGGTACACCGTGCACACTGGGGACACCCTCCCGCCCGCCCCCACCAAGTTAAGGACAGAGACGGCCTCGGGCCCTGCGAAGCCAGCGGCGTCGCGGAGACTCAGGCCAGAGACGCGTCTCCCCTCACGGCACTAGAGCTGCGCTCTGGGGCCCCAGCTCGGTGCCCGCGGGGCGCCCCTGGACAGGCGCGCGCCTAAGGCGAGCGAGGGCACGCGAGCCCCGAGTCTGCCGAGACGGCTCGGGTGGGGGACGGGCTCCCCTCCCCGCGGGCCTCGCGCTGGGCCCCACTGAGGTCCGCGCCAACCTCCACGTTACCGGGAGCAGACGGACAACTCCCCGCCCAGGCTGCGCGAGGCTTGCCCGGCCCCCCGCCCCTCCACGCTCGAGCGCGGGCGGAGCGGCGGAAGGAAGCAGGAGCCCCCCGAAGGGGCCACGGCCGGGCGGGCGGCACCGCCCCCCGGGCTTACTATTGGCCCTTGCGGCTCACGCTCTGCCCAGATTGGCGCTCCCGCTTGCCCGTCGTGCCCACAGAGCCCACCCCCAGTCGGCGACTATTGGCGGGTCGTTACGTCATCGCCCCGTCTGCTCCACTGCCATTGGCTCTGAAGGGCCGGGGCGGTCGCGACGTCACAGGCCAGGGCCGCCATTTTAACTGAGCAACCCTAGTGACAGGAGCCGGAGAAGCAGCGCAGGTTGTCCCCGCTTCCCCTCCCCCTTCCCTCCTCCGGCGGATTTCCCGGGTCCCCCGCAGCCCACAGCCCCGGCCCCGCCATGTCCCAGAAGCAAGAAGAGGAGAACCCTGCGGAGGAGACCGGCGAAGAGAAGCAGGTGAAATGGAGGGGGTGCGGGCGGGCGGCCGGGGGCGAGCGTGATGGGGCGGGAGACGGGCTCCCACCGGCGCGGATTGGTCGCCATGGTCTCGGGCTCCGCGGGGGTTGGCCGCTTCCTGCGTCACGCTGGGTGAGCCGCAACAAGGCTCGCTGCTCCGGCCCCTGGTTGGTGAGGCCGCCTGTCAGTCAGGGCCGTGCCCCTCCTGATTGGCCGGCGGGCCGCACCGAGGCGGTGCTGCGATTGGCCGCGCTCCGGCGCGGGGCGGGTGTTGGGGGAGAGTGGGGTGAATGGAGGGGCGGGTGGTCCCGGCGGCGGGGCGCGGGGTCGGAGGTGGGGGTGGCGGCGCGGCCGGGCCGGGCCCCTCAGCCCCACGAGGACCGCGGCGAAGGCGTTTGGGAAGGACCCGCGCCGGGGGCGGGGACGAGCGTGATGACGGGGGGTGGCCGGCGGCGGCAGCTTCCTCGGGAGCCCGGGCTGCGGGCGCCTGTCGCCCCCTCAGGGCGCCCCGAGCCGGGCGGGCGGGCGGGCGGGAGCCCGGGTTCCGTCAGGATGTGGGGCCGGGGCCCCGGGAGCCGGCGGGACCTGGGAATAGGGATTTGAAGAGCGAAGCCTAGAAAGGGGCCGGGGGTCGTCGCGGCGCTCGCCGGCCGGGGGAGACGCCGTGGCCCGGCTGCGGGGGCGGGGCGGGGCGCCCCCCGGCGGGAGCGGCGGACGGGCCCCTGGGCCCCCGGGAGGCGCGGCGGTCGCCCCGCGGGGCGGGCCGCGTCCTCGGCGGACATGGCGGGGGAATTCGAGGGAACCGGCGGACGCGTCGTTTCCCTGAGCTTGGACTCCGGCTTGCGCCCGCCGCCCGGCCCTGGGCCCGCGCAGGGGCGACCCCGCCGGGCTCCCGGCCGCCCTGTCGCTGGAACGTGCCGCCCGACCGCCAGAAGCCCGCCTCGGCGCTGCTGTGAGAGTTAGGCCGAGCGCTGCGGTGCCGGCCTGGCGTTCAGCTGCTGCCCGTAACCGGCACTGCAGGCCCCCGGGGCGCTCGGGCGCCGTGCGGGAGAGGGTTCGGCTTCGCCTTCGCTCGGTGCAGCGCCTTGAGCTTCAGGGATAGGAACAAAGGTCCGGCCCGGAGCGCACGGCGGAGACTGCTGCTCCCGAGTGGGTGGGGCGCCAGGGGTTGTTGGTCGGTGTAAAGGTTATCAGACATTGGCAGCATTTGGTCCTCGGTCTTTAATTTTATTCACCCTTTCCCCCCAGGACACACAGGAGAAAGAAGGCATTCTCCCCGAGAGAGCCGAGGAGGCCAAGCTGAAGGCCAAATATCCAAGCTTAGGACAAAAGCCTGGAGGCTCCGACTTCCTTATGAAGAGACTCCAGAAAGGGGTACGGGGCCCACTCTCTTCCTTTGGGGCCCAAGCGGGGACTTAGGGACGAGGGCCGCTGCGCTGGGGCTCTGCTGTCGGGGACTTAGCAAGAGCGAGGCTCATTATTGTAGCCCCGTGTGGGGTCTCTTGTCTTCTGATTTCCTTTATAGGGAATTAAGGCTTAATGGTGTGGGGGAATTGGGGTTGGGGAGGCAGGGGTTGGGGGAAATAAGGGTGTTGAGAGACTGGTTTGCTGAACTGCCCCCAGGCCTTTGCCTGTTTAGATGGTAGTATGGGATCAGAGCTCAATTTTGGGGTGCATCATTTCAGGAAAGGATAAATCATCTGTCCTGCAGTTTCCTCAACTTGAATGAACAATAGGTTTTTTCATACCCTTGAAGTTGGCACTAGCCACTGCGTGTCCTCCCTCCAGAGGCTTATTTTTCCTGTGTGCGGTGGTCCTCCACACCTAGGGAGAGTCTGCCTTCACAGCCATCCAGCTCCTGATCAGGTTCCTTGGGCCCCAGAGAGACCTAAGGCTGGCTGAGGCGCTGGAAGTCATTAAAATGGAGTGTATTTCTCTGTGTGGATAAAATGGAGAGTGAAACAGATCCCTCTGGAGAATCCTAGTTGTTGAGTCTTAGTCACAGAAGATGATGTGCTGATTTGCAGTTTACCTTGCTGTTGGCAAGGCAGGCGTAGGCTGGCTGTCACAGCCACGGAACATGTGTGGGAGTGGTGAGAATTGGAGGAAAGTACATTTGCCTCCTGAACAAGCCCAGTTTCTGTTCATGATCTGAGAGAAAATTTTTTAATTTTAAGGTTGTCAGCTTGAGGCTGCTACCTGCTGACTGCTGGGGTAGCCCCAGATTGACCCTTCATGTGTCTTGTTTGCCTGTTTCCCTGGCACCAAGCCCACAGTTCCTGGGGAAGCCCTTGTGAATAGTCAGTGACTGGATTAAATCATCCTGTGCCGATGGGGCTACAAAGGATGAGGGTACACACAAAGCAGGGAGCTACCTCTTAACTCCCAAAATACATACTCTGGCTGCGAAACTGCTTCCAGGCCTGGAAACGTCAGAGCACACTGTGAGGAGGGCGTGAACGCACGTAGTTAGCGCCAAGCTGAAGTTAATCAAATCAAAGAAGACTTTGAAGGACCTGCATGTGGGTGAGGGTCTGTAGTGGGTGGGAGTCTCTTGCTCCTGAAGAAGGCCAGGGCTGCTCTCATCTAAATGCTCCTCTTGTCTCTTAGCAAAAGTACTTTGACTCAGGAGACTACAACATGGCCAAAGCCAAGATGAAGAATAAGCAGCTGCCCAGTGCGGGGCCAGACAAGAACCTGGTGACCGGCGACCACATCCCCACCCCACAGGATCTGCCCCAGAGAAAGTCCTCGCTCGTCACCAGCAAGCTCGCGGGGTAACCTGAGCCCCCCTCCTCCCCTTCCTCACCCGCTGGACTTTGCATATCATAGGCAGGATGGGCCGGGCACCTAGGTAGAGCTGCTCAGCTTGCTGGTCAGAAATGGCCGTGACCCTGCGGGGCTGCTGAGACGGTCACGCGGTCGGAGGGGGCTCTGAGTTCGTTTCTTCCGTTAAAGTGAGATTTCCGCTCCCTCCCTGGACCCAGGTGGGGGCCCCGAAAGGGGAGACTAGGCTGGGGGGATGCTGCAAACTTTTTCTTCGTGTGCGAAGCTGGGGAGATGTGCTTTCTCCTTTGGGAAGAGACTATCCCAGAATTGGTTAGGCCCCCACCTTGGGGATAATACGACAGCTTGGACCCTAAGGCCGACCTGACAGAGTGGGGAGCTGGTGGGTTGGGTGAGACCTGTTCTCTGCTTCTAAGTGTGTTGTCCCTTAGGCTGCTACTGCTTTGTGTTCCCATTATGACCAATTTAGAGACTCCTCAAAAAGAAAAACTGATTTGCTTGCATAAAGCCGCAGCGCCCACTTACCCTCCCTTAGTCAGTGTGCCACGCAGTTTGTCGTGGCTCTTCAATAATGTCAAGATTGGGAAAAGTATCCACAGGAAATGGGCACCTTCTCTCTCTGTTCCAGCATGCTGCTTTTGTAGGTCTCACGGGGTGGCGGGGAGAGCACTGCTTTAGGAGTCAGGATCTCTGGGTGCCACTGAGTTTTGGCAGAACCAATGTGTAATCTCGGTCGAGTCATTTAACCTCCCTGGACTCCTAGTTCCTCATTCCTGAACTAGAGTTGACTCTAAGTAAACTCGATTCTGCTTCTAAAATCCTAAAAATGCTAGCTGGGAAGCTGCGCTGGTCGTTGTGAAACAAAGTGAAGAAGGCCTGAGAGTGAGCCTCCAGGAGGGGCGGCTACGGCTGAGATTGAGAGAAAGCGGAGATTGGGGGTCGTGAATTAGACAGGAGGGCCTCGTAAGTAACAGGCCCCAGAGGGTTAAGACCAAAGAAAGGTGGAAGCGAGCAGTGAAGCACCTTGCCCCCGCCCCTTTCCTCCCCGACAGTCTGCAGCCTACTGAAAAGCTGCTCTGGCCGGAGGAAGCGTGCTCAGTCACGCAGCGTGGGGTCCCCAGATGTAATCAGGTGCCAGGTGTATTGTTAGGAGGACACGAAGGGGATAAACTGAGCCAGGGGATAAACTGAGCCGGCCTGCAGGGCTGGAGCAGCAGGTTTTGAGGAGATGATTCACCTGAGAGGAAGCTGGGGAGGGTGTGAGAGAGAAGAAACCCTGAGAAGTCTCTGCCTTCCTAGAGTGCAGTGACCCAGCTCCTGAGCAGGAGGGAGGTCAGGAGGCGCTGAGTCAGGAGCAGGCGGAGGGAGGAGGTGGCAGGTGATCTCGTCACTAGCTTGGCCCGAATCTTAACGAACACAATCTGCTAGTTACGATACGACGGAGAGGGTCAGGGTGGGAACTCGCTGTTCCGAGGGCGAGATCCTGAAATTCTCTTGCCCGTTCACCTCAAACGTTCTGAGACGCCAAGCATCGGTGGACGCCATGGGCGGGCGTGGAGAATTTGCCGGTGTGCGTGCGCGGGGTGGCCGTGCTGCGCCTGCCCTGCGCACCGGGTGGGAGAAGCTGGTGAGGAAGGAATGGAGAGAACAGGGTCCCTCGCCCCCCGGCCCCACGCTCCTGAACTGTCACTTGTAACTGTATATAACTTCTGTGTTTCCTGCTCCATTCTCATGCTGTCTTCCTTAGTCTAAAGGCCATGTGGGGAGGGGCTGCCGGACATCCTTGTACAGTTTCCTCAGCCGTCCCGACCATGTTGTACATAGATATGTCGTGTTATTATATATATAAATATATATATAATTTTGTACGTTTTCTTCATCTCCGATCTTCTCGAATTTTGTACTTTCTTTCTGTCTGAGCTGCTTTCTCTATTGGTCAGTTTGAATCCTCACGAGAGAGCTTGCGGTAGTCTGGGGTTCAGGAAAGAATAGGAAAAAAGAGAAAGTCAAAGATCATTGGTCTCCCTCTCTCCACCCGGCTCTCTCCAAAGCTAAGAAAACAATCTCCGTTGTTCTGCTGGCACAGCAGGAGGCCAGGGCTGCCTGGCAGAGCAGGGTGGCTGTAAAGTCCAACTCCAGGTCACTTTGCTCAAACCTGGATGATCACACCCCCTCAGAGCAGCGCCTGGGTCCTGGTCCTGGCCCCGCAGCCCCACCGTGCCAACGAGTGCCCACCAGTCTTGCCCGTGGCAGGGGCCTCCACAGCTGAGCCTGTGTCAAGCCTGGCGCCCCTGCCCTGCGAACCCCCAGTTACTCTGATCTTGTCTAAGGAATTGTTTTTCTGTCTTTGTTTTCATGGGTTATCTCTAGAAAGGCAGAGAACATTTTATTTTGCGAATAGTGAAAAGCTCAAATTCCTTCTTCCTCCCCACCCCTTCTCTGCTCTTCCCCCCACCCCTTCCCTCTGATTAATCACTCTCAGGCTGGGTTGTGCATGAGCCCGGAGGCTTAGGGAAGCTCTAGCTTGGAAGAGTCAGAGAATCACGGGTAAAGACTGGGATGGACTTAGGGTTTCTCCCTTATCACTTGACAGTGTTTTCTTTTCTTCTTCTGTGTTCGTCCACAGTGGCCAAGTTGAATGATGCTGCCCGGGGCTCCGCCAGATCCTGAGACGCTGCCCCCCTGGGTCCGCTCCTGCCCCTCCCTCCTTTTGCAGCCAGGGGTTAGGAGGTGGCTCGGGCGCGGGCTGGAGAGGCAGAAGCCCCTGCCCGTCGGTGTCCCAGCGCATGGAGCCCCTTGGGCTGAGCACCAAGACCTTGAACCTTTTTTTTGTTTTACCTTTTTTTCCAAATAACTGTTGGGAGAAATCTCAGTGAAATTCTGGAGGGGGGGGCTGAGCGGGTGGGGGGAGAGATCTGGGGGACTCCGGACTAGGGCTTGGAGTTGATGACATTCTTGACGGTCCTCCTCAACCGCGTGGCTGGAGCGGTGTGGGTGTGACGAGGAGTAGACTGAAGACGAGGGGTTCCGAGTCCGCTCTGTGACACACGCCCTGTTGGCTGGGAAGGCTGGGAAGCTGCTGTCAGAGACGAGGAACTGTCCATGTAAATACGACGCGGCGCACAGCTCCCCGGCTCTGCAGCGCAGGCTGAGAACTCACCGCTAATTGTTCATAAAAGGAAAAATAAGTGCTGTCCTTGAAGTAGGTTTGCCGTGGGAAGAAGGGCAGTGAGTGTGGGGAAGGGGCCATGAGCGTGGGGAGCCCCACGGAGCCCAAGGGACTTTTTCAGTGTTTGAAATAAAACAAAAGAAGAACACCCACGACAAAAACCCGACCCAGAAATGCTCTGAAGCAGTTGGTGTGTTTTATTGGGGCTTGGGAAAGGGAAGACAAGGTTGAGGACCCCATTCAGGGGAACGGCTGCTGTGGGGCCCTGAATTTTTAAGGAATAGGGACCCTTGATATGGGGGGTGGCTGGGTCCCCTGCTTTCGTCTTAAGGCGCAGGGGTGTTGGTGTGCAGACCAGGCCTTTGCTGGTTCTCGTCCATCCCCGTGTTTCTGTGGCGATTGCACAGAGGCACCAACCTCAGGTTTTGACTCAAAAAAAAAAAAAAAAAAGAGGGATTGGAGGGATTTGATTTAAAGGGCTTATGGCCACCCAAAGCTTCATCCTGGCTAAGGAAAAATGTAAGCCGGCTCCTCCTCTTCCCTGTCAGTCTGTCATTCCTCCAGGAGTCTTGTCGGGGAGGGAGAACCCTGACCTCTAGGCTCGTGCCCCAGTGAGCTCAGGCCTTTCTGCCGGCGGCCAGCAGGGGGCGCGCGCCGCCTTCCCCGCCCTGAGTTGCTGGTCGGCTGCTGCTGGAGGGCGCTAGAAGCTCTCGGCGACAGCGGGGAGCCACAGCGCAGACCTGCCCGCCGCCACTGGTAGATTGAAACTTTTGCCCAAATTTATCGGGGTGTTTTCCCGAACGTGATGGGCTTCTTGAGTAAGTACGCGTGAGGGGAGGTAAGGTCTGGAAACGATGTTTTCAGAGCCTAGTGCATGCCTGCTCCTTAGCCGGGAGCTGTCCAGTAAGTTTTCAGCCACTCAGGGCGCTGCTGGTTTGCTTTTGTGAGTTCGCTGGGGGCCTGGGGCACCTGGAGAGCGCACCAGACCCCTGCGGCGCGGTGGTGCGGAAGAGGTACAGAAGCGATGCCCCCTGCCTTGGTGGGGCTTGCTGTCTGTCGGGAAGAAAATCTGGACAAGTTCATGTGCTTCATATGGTTACTTGCAGATGTTAAAGCCAGAGGCACACACAGCGCTGTGCCCTCCCTCGTTGACCCTGGGCCTCTGAGCCTGCCGTGTTGCCCCTGGCTTGTCTGCCAGGCAGAGGCCGCCAGGCACAATCACCAAGGCTGAGCGTGGCATCACTGAGTGCAGGTCATTTGAATACAGGTCAGGACGCGGAGGTGTGGAAGTCACTCAGCCAGCGGCAGAGCCGAAGAGCTTGAGTTAGTTTCTGGGCTCTTCTGTGACGTTGCCAGCGCTCCTGGCTTGCCCGGTCCTTAGTCTCAGGCTGTAGCCTTGGAGCTTCTGGGTGTCAGTGTGGCTATTTCAGTTCAAAGCGTGCGCTTCCTCTTCCTCACCCTCACACTGCAGGGGTAGGCCTCGGGGCAGCCTGACCGGCAGGGCCCAGACAGCCCATCTTCATAACTCAGGGTTTCATAGGTTTTGTTCCGAGAGTGGAGTAGGGGGTTCTTCACCCCCCGGTTGGTTGAGTGATGGTGGCACTGACACGCCTCTCGGCTGGGCTGTCTGCTACGCAGGGCCAGCGGCCCTGTGAAGGGGTGAAGTCACCATTATTGTCCAGCGTGTATTTTAAGCTGATGTGGGCTGGGCGTGGGAAACAGGCAAGGGAGAAATAAATACCTTGGAGAGCTGCCACGGAAGGTATTTACAGTGAGCCCGTGACCCCTCGTGAGCCGCCCTGGAGCGCGCAGTGCCCTCTGCTGGGCCCGGGGGAGGCCAACAGGAAGAGGGAAGCTTGTCCCTCGGGAAACCGAAGCATAACAATGACAAATAAAAACACAGGAGTGTAGCTAAAGGAAGTAGAGCTCCAAGAGCTGAGGGCAGGAGTGTCAGGAACCGAGTTATTAATAAGCCAAATTTTTTTAGAGCTGGTGACTAATAAAGGGAGGCCTCCCGCGCTGGAACGGCGCGTTGATTCAAGTCACTGTTGGGCGCCCACTTGCCGTCAGAAATACTAGCTGTTGGGTAGATGAACGATGCAGGAGGTGGTGTCTGCCCTGGAGGAACTAGAAGCTTCGCTGAGACAGTTCTTGCACATACCCCCTAATGCAAGACGCCGCATGACTGGTCAGGCCGTGGTCAGAGTTCTGAGAAGGGGCTGCAGGGCTGGCATCATGCGCAGATGCCAGCGGAGGAAGTGGAAGTTGAGCTGGGTCTTGAAAAATGGGTCCGGCCCAGTCATCCCGTACGTGAGCGATAATGCGGGTGCTGCTTCCAGATCCCACTGTGCCAGGGAACCCCTCGTGACATCATGGTAGTGCTCAGTTTGTCGCTCCAGAGTCCTAGGGACAGGATTTAGCAATTGCTCAGCGTTTGGTTTTTGCTACGTGCCCAGTCCCATGCGTGCTTCACAGACATGGCCTCTTGGCATCCTCAGGCTCTGCGGAGCGCGCAGTCGCGGCACTGTGGTCACGTGAGCAAACCACCCTTTCCCCAAGTTTCAGGCCCTGAGAGGGGAGCAGGTTCACGCGCCTGCAGAGGGAGGGGCGCGGCGTGTCGGGAGGTTCCGTGGAGCAGGTTCCGAGTGACAAGCAGGAATGGCCCCAGAAAGGGAAGGTGAGGTGCGGCGTTGGCGTCGAGGGCGGCACGGAGAGAAGCGGGAGGTGGCGGGCACCTGCAGCTTCTGCAGTGGCCGTGTCCCGTGCGCCGGGGGTGCAGGCTGCCGGGCAGGGGGGCAGGTGCTGCGCTGCTGGAGGAAGGGGCGTGGGAGTCGGCGCGGGGCTGCCAAGGAGAGTGGTCAGGCCCCAGTTCTCATGGGTCGCGGCCAAATCCTGGGGAGAAGGGACCAGCGGGTGGGCCCTGGGGCGGGCTGGTTTGGTGTCAGGCTGCCCGTTGGCACCCCGGGCTGGGTGTCTTGATCACTTACTGCGAGTTTTGGGGTTTGTTTACACTCTGAAAGGACAGGTTTGTTAGGAAAGGCAAGGAGAAGCTGGCACAGGCAGAAAGAGCTGCCAGGGCGCTAGGCAGAAGAGGCTTGTGAGGAGAAGCCCCTGGGCCCAGGTGGGCGGGGGCTGCTGAGACAAGCTTCGCAGGCCACCTCAGGATCACATGTGCCTGCCACGAGCTCGCTAAGTTCGTCAGATGGTTTCTGCCCTCAAGGAGCTCACAGGCTGGGAGGACACCCGAGGCTGGGCAGGCGGACGCTTAGCACACGCCAACTGGGGCGAAGTCGGGGCGAGCACAGAATGCTCCCGAGCGCAGAGCGGGGGCTCTCGTCTAACATGGGGAAGTAGACCTGTCTGGAAAAACCTTTCCTTAGAAAGTAACTTCCAAAGGGCCTTCCTGGTGGTGCAGGGGTTAAGTCTCAGCGCTATGAAGCTGTCACGGCGGCCTCGGCAGCACGCCCGGCCAGGGAGCTACCCGCATGACGCGGCAGACCTCTCCTGCCTCCCCGCTGCTCCCCTCAGCAGTGGATTTCAGTCAGTCTTCCTGTTCTCCCCGCTCTGTCTCTGCTGAATCCTCTCACCCCCCCACCCCCGGCCTGCATCCCAGCTCTTCTGTGTATAAATAAATAAAATAAATCTTTAAAAAAAAAAACTTGTAAATGGAAATCGATGGGGTAGGAGCACGCAGGTGAAGGGATTAGACAGAAGGGGTCATCCAGTGGAAGCAACAGTGTGGAAGCGCTCGGAGGTTTACATTCTGCCAACTTAAAGTGACCGAGAGTAGTGTGACCGCGCAGGGGTGAAGCAGAACCGGGTGGAAACTCAGGCAGGTCACACAGGCCTCTGGTCTGTCCTGGGAGCAAGGGCGAGCTGCTGCCTAGAGGCTGAGCACGGCGGCGACACGATCACGCTGGCTCTCTGGAGCCGTCTTCCGATGACCGTAGCGGGAGAGGCTGGGGGGAGTCCAATGGATGTCTTAGGTGCTAGAAATCTGAAAGGGGTGTGGCTCTCAGGAAGAGGATGAGCTCAATTGGTGGCACAGTAAATCTGAAGTGACCGAGAAACACCCGAGGAGAAGTCTGTACTGTGTTCCCCCGAGTCCACCTGCCGCAGGCTAGCGCGCTTCCCGCAGGAGACCGCGCCGCTGGGGAGCTAGGGAAGTGAGCGGCAATGAGGATGAAGAGGAGTGAACGGATAGAGCCAAGGAATGCAAAGCAGGTGCAGTCACCCACGCTTCACCCACCCTTCACGAGAGGCTTGGGAAGAGGCAGGACGCTCACGATCCGCAGGTTCTGGCCTGGGCTGCGGGTGCGCGGCGACGCCGGGCCGGGCGGAGCTCAGCTGGAGCTGGAGGAGGTGTCAGCAGGGACGACGAGGGCGGTTTCGCAGAGGAGGTGACTCGAGGTGCTTGTAGGACATCCAGGAGCAGGGGACGGAGTTGTTGGATTTATGATGTAGAGGTGGGAGAGAAATATCGAGGGGAGACCGTGACTCCGTGGGTGCTGGCCACAGAAGGAAAAGCCTCTAGAGCAGAAGGAGCGGACGCAGCCCCTGCTGAAGGTTCGCATCCGGAGTGGGCAGGAGCGGACGCTGAGCAGGTTTTCTGATCCAGCAGCAGGTACGGGGGGAGTCCTGGGACCCGCAGCGGCGGGCAGGGGCGCCGGGAGGCAGGCCGGCCTGCCAGCCCCCAGCATAGCCTCACTCCGCCCGGGCTCGGGCGTGCTCTCTGCTTCTCTTCTGCTCTCGGCTTCCGTTCGTTCCTGGCTTCTCGTTCAGCTGCTACTCTCGGCTTCTGCTGGCGTCCCCGCGCCGCCGCCCTTAAAAACTCAGTCTCTCAGCCCAGGTGCACCCACGGCAGGTGCCGCCATCAGGCCTGCATTCGGGACCTCAGGGTTCCCTCACCTGTCCTGATGGCGGGAGGCAGAAAAGCCTGACACTTTTCCTTACCCTCCGGGGGGTGTGTGCACGTGTGTGCGCTTTCTGTTCAAGATTTTGGCAATATGCATGTATTTGATAATTGGAGGAAATTTTAATTCCCAAAACAATAAAATGACAATGTTTTTTTAAAATGACCTAAAAGGTGCCCATTTGATTGACAGTTGGTAACCCTTCTTGAGACCGGGCTCGGGGGCCTGGTGGAGTGAGCGTCTTGCGTTGCGTGTGGGAAGGGTTTCATGCTGATGTTTTAAGATGGGGGTGGTTCAGGCGCCCCTGCTGCCGGAGAGAAGGTGACGCTCACTAGAGAATGCTGGTGCCCGAAGGGGCAAGGCTCTGAGCAGGCGGGACGGCAAGGCGCTGGGTGGATGTGGCTAGCCAGAGCGAGCGAGCCGCTGAGGAGGTGGGGTGCTGGGCCGCCGCTGAGTGAGGAACGGGGCTCCAGCAGAGGGTGTGCTCCTCATCCTGCCCAGACCCGGGAGGAGCGAGAACAGGGGAGACAGCTGCTGTGCCGGGGGAGTCGGCAACTAGCGGGAGGCCTTGCGGACAGCTTCACTGTCCCTCGCGGATGGGAGGGCGCAGGGGCAGGAAGGGCCGGAGCAGGATCTCTATGATCCGAGCAGGCGGGCGAAGGAGTCCTGGAGTCCTCGGTGGCTTTTGCAGGCTTCTGTTGGCATTTACCAGGTACACGGCTGGCAGGGGGTGCCAGGGGGCCGAGAGGCTGGCAGGCCTCCCAGCAAGTCTTCGCTCTTCCTGGGCTCTCCGGCCTTCTCTCGGGGCCTCTGCTTCTCTTTCCCTCTTTTCGCTCTCCTGGCGTCCCCGTCCCCATGACGCCGCCCTTAAAAGTCTTGGGGCCTCCCCTGGTGGCGCAGCGGTTGAGTGCTGGGCTGCGGGGCTGCCCGCAGCCTCTGCAGCGCCGGTTCGTTCCCCGGCCACCCGCGAGCGTCCCACAAAAAAAAAAGCCCAGTCTCAGCCCAGGTGAATCCCATCGACATAGGCCCAGGTGCCGCCATCAGGCGTGCGTTCAGGACCGCCGTGCGTTCAGGGAGCCATCGTCCAGCCTGATGGCGGAGGGCAGAAGAGCCTGACACTTTATCACGTACCCTGCACATGGGGAGTTGCTGGGGGAGAGCTGGGACGTTAGACGGGGGCTTAGAAGGGCCTGCGTTTAGGAGAGAGGACGAGGAGGGCCCGGAAGAGAGCTGACAAACCCGAAGGGGGAGGTCAGAGCCCTGTCCAAGGCCCTGCAGGCTAGACCCGCGGCTGTCCGAGCCGCTGGAACGACACAGCCGCGTCTTCTGCTCTGTCTGCGACACACAGCTGCCCGTCCCGGGGCAGAGAAGACGCGTCGCTGGCCAGAGCCTGCATCGTGGTGGGTACACGTGAGGCAGACAGGAACGAGGGGCTGCGGGGGGCTCGCGAAGGACACATCAGGGGCTCTGCCTCGTCAGGACTGGGTAGAAGGCGGAGGCGGGCCGAGGAGGGGAGCAGCTGGCCGGGAGACGTCTTGCTGAGGTGTGAGGGCAGGTGATTTCCAAGAAGTGGTAAGGCCGGAGACGGGGGCCTGCTGCGCGCCTAACAGGGTCACCCCCAGGGACGGAGGGGTTTCCAGGGCTGATGCAGCGGAGGGCAGAACCCCTTTACAGCGTGCAGTGGGGGGGTCCGCCTGCCCTGTGGCAGCAAGAATGATGTTAGAGTTCAGGAGCTGAAAGTTGGAATTTTCCTGCAATGACAAGGTCAGCAGGGACAGGTGTGGGGCGGGAGGGAGGACCCTGGCCTGGGGGGCACCGAGGGAGCCCACCGGCCTCGAGGCAGTGGCTCGCGCACCTGGGCTTCATCTGCTCGTTAAATCTGTGTGTTTTATAAAGAAAGGCTGACGTGTCCAGCTTAGAAAACAGCAGCAACAGAGAACGAGGAGCCTGGAGTGCTGGGCCCGGAAGTGGAGGCGCTTGAATGACCCCAGGATGATGCAGGACTTGAGGGGAGATGCAGCCCCAGCAGGAAGGCGGGCCGGCCTGGCGCAGACTGCGCGGAGGCGTCGCTCGCGTTAACTGTGGCCTGGAAATGTCTGAGGGGCGAAGAGTGGTTCAGATCCCCAACTTTCTGATACGGGAGGGGAAAACCCCACAGCAGCTGTACACTAAGCGCTGTCCCGGGGGAAACCGAGGTGTAATTTGAATGAGTGGGTTGAGGGAAATTCTCTCAAGTGGGTTTTCTGTGTGAGTCATCCGAGAAGTGAGGCACCGAGAGAAGGTGCGAGCAGGTGGGAAAAGCTCCGCTTTCAGGCAGGACCAAAGAGGGGGGACCAGGGAGCCGCAGCCCAGGGCGGCCTCGAGGTGCCGCCTTTGGTTCCAATGTTTGGTGCCAGTGGTGACTGCAGCCCGGGCGTGCCCGCCTCTCAGGCTGCCTCTCGGGGTGCTGTGCGGTAGGTGGGGGCTTCCCCTCTGGGACGACATTGCCGGATAACGAAAAGGGAACAGGAGTTTTTCTTCCTCCTTCCCTTCTTGCTTCCCTCCCTTCCGCCTCTCCTTTTCTCCTTTCCTTTTCTTTCTTTCCTTTTCTTTCTTTCCTTTCTTGTTTTCCTTCCTTTTCTTTCTCTTTCCTTTTCCTTCTTTATTGTTCACTGCTGTATCCTCAGCATCAAGAAGGGTGTTTTGGGGAGTGTCCCTGGTGGCGCAAGGGGTTAAGTCTCTTCACTATGAAACTATCAGCAGCCACTGCAGCACAAGTTCGAACCCCAGCCAGGGAGCTACCCCCACGGTGCAGCAGACCTCTCCTGCCTCCCCGCTGCTCCACTCAGCGGTGTATTACACCTGTTCTGTTCCAGACTCTGTCTCTAGCGA